TGTTGGGCAATGCGTAGACCTTCCAATTACAACATTACTACCATATGACACCAAAGGAATAATTCTTTAACTGGACTGCACCTCAGTAGCCAAGGCTGGTGGTCGATGTAAGACAGCTTGTTGTCAAGGAAAAAGGTGCCGAATCACTGCTCAGCTCCTGTTGAGAAATTCAAATGTGAGTTAGACCATCAGCTAAGCCCTTCTCATCCTCCTCTGATACCAAATAAAAGGGCTCATTTCCCTTCACACTCACCTGCTCTCAAAATATCAAGAAGCTCAGGAACCTTTTCTTTGTAGGGTAGAACAATCTTCTCCAGGAATTTTGTATTTGATATTGTCACATAGGACAAAAACGTGCCTCGTCGAGTCCACAAGCCTTTCGTATTCAACATCTCCAAAACACGAAACCGAGGAATTACCGTCTTCTGCAGACTTGATAGCAAGAGATTTGGATGGGAGGCGATGAACGAAGGGGTGTACCCGACTACATTAATAAAAAATTCCACTTTTCTGCGCAACATATCGAGGGAGATGCATAAGAAGGTGGGATTTTTAATGACTGCAGAAGAAAACTCCGACTCCGACCACCCGAAGCTCCTCATGAGCTCGGCCTTGGCCTCGAACTTTTCTTTGCTTACCATTTGGAGAACACCAAGTGTCCACACGAACATCCGAGATAGCCGTGGCGTCCCCAGCTCCTCGGCTCTCGCCACCAAAGCTCGGAGCGACTCAGGTTTCCGTGAGATTAATTGTGGGCGACTTCTCAAGGCGAGAGAGAGCCTTTCTTCAGGAATGCCGCACTCATCCCGCAAGAACTTTAGGTTAGGATGCAATGTCTTCTCAACGCTGGAGTAGAAAAACCATCCTGGCTTCTTGAGATGCTTGAGAACGAGCTCTCTCGATCCCAAGAGACTTTCCCACATCTCCAATTTGGGGACGATGGAACGGTGAACGTTGAGACGGAGGATGGCATGGTTATTCATGATGGCATCGACGATGTCCGACTCCGATAGGTCCAAATCGCGTAAGAACTGAAACTTCGGCGCGAGGTTCTTCTCCACGTTGTAGCACAAGTATCTGGGATACGCAGATATCACCTTCCTGATACCGGCGCCGTCGAAGCCCTGAGATCTCATGAAGTTAAGGACGGCGTCTGGTTTCTTGGTGGCTCGGAGGTGCGCAAGAGGTTTAGAGACCTTGGCTGCCTCGGAGGGGGAGAACCCCCAGGAGTTTACGAGGTATTCCACCATGAAGTGGGGATCTGGAGACATGGTGCCGCCTACGGTGACGGCGGCAGCGTCTACAGAGGAGGAGAAGAAGAGGCGGTCTCGAAGGTGGCAGGTTTCGAACAAGGGCAGGAGGCGATTGCGGCGGAGCACGGAGCGGAGCGTCGCAGCCGCCATTGTGGGAGACGAAAGAAATCTGAGATGGGTACCCTAATTCCTATATATAGTGTGTATAAGCTTCGCTATGCACAAGAAATACAAAACTGCAGGAATAATTTATTTATATCACAAATATGGATAAAGTGATCGACAAAATATTTATATAATTTTATCTCTCCATAAGAAAACACTCTTTTCATGAGAAAAGTGATTTGATCATCGGACGAATTCTTTTTTTAAAATAAACATTAAAATTTTCTTATGAAATTGCCTAAATTTAAAAAAATTAAATTATTTTTTAATATTCATTTAACTTCTGTCATCGTTTCTTACTTTCACATCCTTTTCATCATATTTTTACCTCGTCAATTATCCCCCGTTATTTTATCATCCGTTTGATAATTTAAACCTTAGTTACCTCGCCCATCGATTATTGTCGGTGATCCTAAAAAGGAGAGATTGTCCACTGATCGATGCAGAGATGTTGATCATGAATTAAATAATATTTTTTAATTTAAATTTTATTTTATATATATATATATATATATATATATACCACAACACCTGTTAATCTATACATGCCAACTATGTAAGCGTATCATATCCTTTATGTTCACATTGCATTGGTTCATTAACATGACATAAGTGCACGATTTTGCTTAGATTACTTGTCTTATTTAAATTTATGAATTCTATTTTTCTCACTTCCTTCCATATATTTATTTCATTAATGTCTATCTTTCCAAAATTGAGACATACGTGTGTTGACATTAAGATCTATGACGTTATTATTCAGTCATAAAGAAAAAAGAGTATCTTCCCAATATTCTTGATGGACTTGCAAGTTCTACAACTCCTGCACAGCAAAAACGGAACAACTGATATCAAAATATAAAAGGCATATCACGCATTGATAAGGGTGATTGATAATCTTACGATAGTATATATACTAATAAGGGATAATTTGATAATGGATATAATATGATAAGTCATACATCAATCATGAATTTTCATAATATTTTTTCATATTATTTTTTAAATATATTATATAAATGGATGATTTTGTTTAACTATGTATTCTTACCGAGAACAAGTAAAGCAATTCTTTCAAGGATTAACAGGTCATCAAAATTGATATTAAACGATTCCTCCATCAGAAATATGTCTCCACTTGAGCAGATGATGGATTCCACTTTATCTATGGAGAGCAAAATGAGTTATCTTTGTCCATTGTTGAGAGAAATCAATCTCGTAGGATATGTTCCTCCATCAATTATTGGAAGAGTACATCATCAGATATAATCTGCACTTTTATTATCTGACTATTATATATGTATTATATATGAATGATGTATGATTTTATTTACTATATAAAAATTATTATTATTTTTTAAATATACAAGTTTAATAATAGATAGATATACTATCATTTTATATCAAATCATTAATATTTATATATGTTTCATAAATATTAAAAATTATTTTTATGATTTTATTTTATAATTTTATTTACTATATAGAAATTACAGACATACTTAAAAGGTTTGAAAAATTACACAACAAAAGAGTCTAAAATAATCTAGCTCAGGACACAATCTTTATTTGCAAACCTAAGATAACCATCAAAACCAAAGAAAATGAAACTACTAAACCTATTATCAATACTTTACGTGCTATGCAAAGCATGAACAAAATCGAAAGACATAAAGATATATGAGCATCACATCAAATCTCGTTTGTCCATACAATTCGGATTCAATTTGCACAGAATCCAAAAGTTCCATGACAATTCGGAATCAATTTGCACAGAATCCAAAAGTTCATAAGATCCAAAATCATCTCGGTTGAACTGCTAACAGAATTTCTAAAACCTGCAATTCACATACAAACCAACAATAGTGTGCCAAACATAATCAGAAAATGATTCGAGCAAACATTTAGTAAGACAAAACAAAGTTGGCTTATAATCAATGCCAATCTAGCATGTCACATGAGAAGAATCTCACACCTCAATAGACTTTTAGAGAAGCCATTTGCATTCTATTTCCAAAATCTCAAACTAGGGGAATAATCTACCTTCATCGATCAGAGATTTCAAACAGGCCAGGGACTTCTGCTTTGCAACAAAGAACAGACTTTTCCATGAACCTTAATGAGTAAAACTGGAAGACATTTTG